CCCGCAGCCTCCTCATCCCATGGGGTAGGTGTCACCCATGGGGATGGGGTGCAGGGTGCAGGTAGCAGCCACTAGCCCTGTGAGGGGCAGCTCCTGTCTGGTGCTGACACGGCCATCGTCTTTTCTCCATCCCAGAAAGCCACATCACAGCTCCAACTGTTGGCATTGCCATCACAGTGCTGCTCCTTTTGGTCATGGCCTCTGCTGGAGCATTTTGGTGGTGGAAGCGCAGGTAAGATCTCCCTCCCACGGTCTGCTCTCAGGTTCATGGGCAGATGGGTTGGGCCACGGGTTGCAGCAGCAGCAGCTCTGCAGGGATGAACTTCCCAGCCCTAAGTGTGGCTCACAGTTGTGGCCCCCCCTTGCAGGAAACATAATGACACCACATGGGAGACCCAGGAATTCGTCATTTGAGGCCTGGTTGCCCTCCCAGCAATAAGCTTCCTCACCACCAGCTTTCCTTGCTCATCTCATGGCCTATCCCTGACACATCAGCACTGACAGGGGTTTGCTCCGGAAAACGACCACATTAAACAGCTACAAACTTCCCGAGCTGCACGTGGCTCCTGTGTCTCTCATCCTCCTTCGCCTTTATGAAGTGCCCCCAAAAATGCCTTAAAGCACTGCAGAGACCCCATATTGCAGTCAGGAGGACTCTCTCTTTTTCTGGACATTGGCCAATCTCCCCTGGCACGTCAGGAGAAGCGATTCCCACATCTTGGCATCTCTGTGGCCAGTGTCTGTCCCTAGCAGAAGAGCAGTGACAACCTGGGGCCAGACCAGCATGGGGCCACTGAGTGAGATGGGGGATGGAGCAGGCCACCAGGGAGAGATGGAGGGATTTGAGCTGCTTCGCTGAGGTTAGAAGGGGAAGGGAGGACCCAAGTAACATCTCCAGTCCCCTGATGCAGGGAGGTGTTTTGAGAAGGCGTGAAGCTGCTCTGATTCCAGTGCTGATCTCACTCTCTGTCTGGGATGATTTTGGGACAGGATCTCCTCCACTCCTGCCTCCTGCCTCCATGCCTGACTCGTGCCCCTGCAAAACGTCGAGGGATGGGGGACAGTCACTCTCCCAATATGCCTGACACTCATGAAAGAGCCTCACTGAGGCTCTGGGGGACTCGGCCTTTGAGTGACATGCTCCCAAGAAGGGTGGTGTGGTGGGTTGACCCTGGCTAGCCACCAAGTGCTCACCAAGCTGCTCTATCACTCCCCCACCTCAACTGGACAAAGGGGAGAAAATATGACAAAAGGATCATGGGTTGAGAGACAGGGAGATCACTCAGCAATTGCCATCATGGGCAAAACAATCTCAGCTTGGGGAAATTAATTTGATTTATTGCCAATCAAAATCAGAGTAGGATAATGAGAAATAAGAACAAATCTAAAAACACCTTCTCTCCACCCCTCCCTTCTTCCTGGGCTCAACTTTACTCTTGACTTCTCTACCTTCTCCTCCCAAGCAGAACAGTGGGATGGGGAATGGGCATTGTTATTAGTTTATTATGCATTGTCTCTTGCTCCGTCCTCCTCATGTTTCTCCAGCATGAGTTCCCACCCACAGGAGACAGTCCTTCATGAACTTCTTCAATATGGGTCCTTCCCACGGGGTGCAGTCCTTCAGGAACGGACTGCTCCAGCATGGTTCTCCTGCAGGGTCACAAGTCCTGCCAGAAGACCTGCTCTAGTGTGGGCTCCTCTCCAGAGGGTCACAGGTCCTGCCAGAAGTCTCTCCATGGGGTCACAGCCTCCTTCAGGTACACCCACCTGCTCCAACATGGGGTCCTCCATGGGCTGCAGGTAGATATCTGCTCCACTGTGGTCCTCCATGGGCTGTAGGGGAACAACCTGTGTCACCATGGTCTTCACCATGGGCTGCACAGGCACCATCTCTGCTGCAGTGCCTGGAGCATCTCCTTCTTCTTCACTGACTGGTGTTTCCGTAGTTGTTTCTCTCACATATTTCTCTCTGTCCTAGCTGCTGTTGTGCAGCAGTTTTTACCCCTTCTTAAATATGCGATCACAGAGGCACTACCAACATTGTTGATTGGCTCAGCCTTGTCCAGCAGCAAGTCTGTCTTGGAGATGGCTGGAACTGGCTTTGTTGGACATGGAAGCAGATTCTGGCTGGCTTCTGCAGCACCCCTGCAGGCCCCCTGCTACCAAAAGCTTGCCACATAAACCAAATACTCTCTGCCAGGGGACTACAGAGTAAACCCCTGGAGATTACCACGGGAGGAGGCAAAGGCCACCATGGGCCAGGCTCAGCCTATGTCTCCTTGGGTGTCAGGCTGCTGTTGCAGCCAGGAGGGATGACTTTGCGCTCACCCAAATTACCCTGGCACTCACAGCCACTGGCCAGAGTGCACCAGCCCAGCCCCTCCTCCAGCCACACCACTTCCTTCTGGGGAGCACACCTGACCAGGCCCTCCCCAAAACATCAGCACCAGCCTCATTGGCTTCCAGGGCCACCCCACGACATTAGCACCACCAGAGCTGCCCAAGCAGAACAGCCCAGTGGAGAACTGTGCAGTCACGCTCACGTGGCCCTTTCCTCCTCCTGCTACACTTGCTCCTGCATACTTGCTGCTGGCACCATGCAGCCTCCTCGCCTCCTCCTTCTCCTCTTCCTTCTCCTCCTCATCCACAGGATCCGGGCAGATCCAGAGGGTAAGTGCAAGCCCTGGCTCATCCCCACCCGCTCCCTTCCCTGTGCTGTGGGACCCCACAGAGGTGGCAAGGGGTAGGCACTGCAGGACCCCACAGAGATGGCAGGGGGTAGGCACAGATAGGCCGCTGTTCCCGTCACCAAGGGGCCACCTCCCACCCCACAGGACCCAAAGGTGCCCCATCCCTGCCCACCTGCTCAGGGTTCCCTGCCCCACACCATCCTGCCCAGCCCAGCACCACTGGCACTGGGGTTCAGATGCCTGAGCAGCCAAGGGGGAAGGGGTCCCTCAGCCAGGCCTGGGGTGCTGGAGTGCCCCCAAAGATGCCTTCCTCCTGTAGGGAGACTGCAGGCAGCAGGGGTTCTCAGCCCCTTGTGGCACGACAGCCCTGCACTGGGCTCCAACCCCTTGAGCAGTTCCTGTGCACAGCTGTCAGCCTGCGGGATAATTTCTCTTGCAACTGAAGGGTCCCTGGATTCTCCTCCTCTGAAACAACTCTTGAAGGTTCCTCCTGCAGCTACAATGAGCCTTCACCTCTATCCCCAGGTTGTGTTTCCCGTTCTGGGGGCAGGCACTCACTGTGCCCTGGCCAGGGGGCACTCACTGCTCCAAAACAGGCTTCACTCTGCTCTGCTTACTATCAGAGCCTCATTCAGTGCTGCAGCATCAATTTAATTCTCCCGGCTAGTGTCAGTGTCTGGTTTCGAGCACTGCCTGGGAGCCCCTAAACTGGGGTGAAATGCCCCTCCCTCCCAGCCCCCCCAGCCCCTGCACTGTGTGCAGGTATCCAATGGATCCAGGTCCTGGCATGGGTGCTCTCTTGCCAGGGGAAGCATCACCCCAAACCAGCACTGAAGTTCTCCCTGCCATGCCTTCCACACAGCTAAGTGGCAGGTCCCAGTAGGTCACATAGGGGCAGCGGATGGCTAAAAAAAGGGAAATTAGACAAGCAGGGAGAGGCTCAGAGAGACCCAGAGAGGCCGTAGAAGGAAACCACGAACTGAGTGAAAACAGGGGATTTCCCCCACCCTGCCCATCTGCCCTATCTCGCTCTGCCTGTCCCTGAGGACACTGCAAGCCATCTTTCTTAGCGCCACCCACCAACACTGGAGTCAGCAGTTCTCTGACCTCCTCCTTCATCCTCATGCACCCCAATACCACTTCCTCTACCCCTTCTCCCCGCAGGATCTTTTAAACTACATGTTTTCCAAACCTACATCTTCCACAATGATGACTTTGTAGACATTTCAGTCTGGGCCACTCTGGAGGACATTGTCTTTGCTACCATGCATAAATACAGCCAGGACATCCTCTACCTTCATCCATGGGTCTACCCAGCCCTGCCTGCAGACGAGTGGGAGAACCTGCGAAACCTGTTTGGTATCTACATCAAAAACTTCATCCTGTCCGTTTCCAGTGATGCCAGGCTGTACCAGACACCCTGTGAGTATCAGGTGCTCAGCACCTCCTCACCCAAGACAGGGAGCTGTGAGAAGGAGCTCAGAGCCACCACCAACAGCTTTCCCAAACTAGGGCTGGCAGGAGGGCAGGGAATGGGCCTCATCCTGCATCAGCAAGACCGCCAAACCACTCTGTGCTGTGCAAAGGTCACACAGGACCATCCCGGTCCCCAGCACAAACCTTGGCTGTGTTTAGCTCCACTTACACCCTCAGACTAGCCCCCCTATTGCTCTCCGGGCACCACAAATCCCACCAGAGAAGCCATCTGAGAAAGTGGAGTAGAAAGTAAAAGGGGCCTCTCCACTCATGTCTGTGAGATGGGACATGCAAAGCAAGTGCCTAGTCCCACACTGCTGCAGCCCTGGTGACCCAAGGACAGGGTGCCAGGCAGAGTGCCACTGTCCTCCTACTCACCCACACCCCATGTCCTGTCACTCCCCCAAAGAAGTGCTTCCTGCTTTGCTGTGGCTCCCGAACCTGTCATGGGCAGGGGCAGCTTGAGGACAATGAGCTATAGAGCTCAGGACAGGTTTCTCATCCACAGTTTCCACCTGGTGTAAAGCAGAGCAGTGATACGGAGGAGAAGAATAGGATATAGGATATAGGATATAGGATATAGAATAGAATCATTCAGTTGGAAGGGACCTACAATGATCATCCAGTCCAGCTGCCTGACTAATTCAGGGTTGACCTAAAGGTAAAGCAAAATCTTAAGGGCATTGTCCAAATGCCTCTTATGCCTCTTAAACACTGACAAGCACGGGCATCGACCACTTCTGTAGATAAAAGTTTCCTAATATCAAGTTTGAACCCATCCTGATGCAGCTTTGAACCAATCCCAGGTGCCCTGTCCCTAGATCCCAAGGAGAAGAGATCAGCACCTCTCTCTCCACATGCCCTCCTCAGAAAACTGTAGAGTGCAGTGAGGTCACCCCTCATCCTCACTTTCTCCAAACTTGACAAGCCCAAAGTCCTCATAAGACATGCCCCTACACAGCTTTGTTGCCCTCTTCTGGATGCATTTAAGGACCTTCACACCTTTCTTAAATAGTAGGGCCCAGAACTGCACACAGTACTCCAGGTGAGGCCGCACCAACACTGAATACAGTGGGATAATCACCTCTCTTTAACGGGCTAGTTATGCTGTGTTTGATGCACCCAAGGATGTGGTTTGCCCTCCCAGCTGCCAGGATATACTGCTGGCTTCTGTTGAGCCTGTTGCCAACCAGCACCTCCAGATCCCTTTCTGCAGGGCTGCTCTCCAGCCACTGCAGGGCTGCTCTCCAGCCACTCCTCTCCCAGTTTATATTTGTGTCCAGCGTTACTCCATCCCAGGTCCAGAATCTGGCATTTGTCCTTGTTAAATTTCATGCCATTGATGATTGCCCAATGCTCCAGTCTATCTAGATTCCTCTGCAAGGCCTCTCTTGTTCCTCAAGACGGTCAAGAGAGCACCTCCCAGTTTGGTATCATCAGCAAACTTGCTAATGGTGCATTCAACTCCTGCATCCAGATGATTGATCAAATTATTGAACAGCATTGGCCCTAGGATCGAGCCCTGAGGAACACTGCTGGTGACCAGTTGCCAGCCAGATGTAGCCCCATTCACTACAACCCTTGGAGCCCTGCTGTTCAGCCTATTCTTCACCCAGTGCACAGTGAACAGCTCACCCCACAGTTGGACAACTTGTGCAGAAGGATGCTGTGAGGGCCAGTATCAAAAACCTTAACTAAAATCCAGAAAAAATACATCCACTGCCTTCCCTTCATCCACTGGGTGAGCGACCTTATCGTACAAGCATATCAAATTAGTTAAACAGGACTTTCTCTTTGTGAATACATCTCGACAGCCTGATAATTGCATTGTCCTTTAAATGCCTTTCAGTAGCACCCAGTATGATCTTTTCCATAATTTTTCCAGGTACTGAGGTTAGACTAACAGGTCTGTAGTTTCTTGGGCCTTCCCTCACACCCTTCTTGTAAACTGGAATAATGTTGGCTAGCTTGCAGTCTCCCGAGACTCCCAAGACCTTTGGTAGATGATGGAGAGGTGTCCTGCTGTAACATCCACTAGCTCCTTCAGAAGGGAGAATCCCATCAAGCTCCACAAAGTTGTGAACATTCAGCTGATACAGCTGGTCCCTGACAATTTCAGTGTCCATACATGGAAAGTCACTGGTCTCACAGTCATGGTCCTCTGACTCAGAGAACCGGGAGACCCAAGGTCTACCAGTATTATTAAGGACTGAGGAAAAAAATCCATTGAATGACTCTGCTTTTTCTTTAGCCCTATTAGTCAGGTGACCATCTTCAGCAAGTATCAGTCCTATGTTTTCTTTAGACCTCCCCTTGCCATTAACGTACTTAAAAAAGCCTTTCCTGTTGTCTGACACAACACTGGCCAGTTTCAACTCCAATTGAGCTTTGGCCTTTCATGTATTCTCCCTGGGGAGAATGACTTGAAGAGGAAAGGGGGAAAGGGCTGTGCCCAAAGAAGTGGGTGCCAGGCTGTAATTTCAGGCTGTAGCTAAAGCTGCACTCGTGATGCCTGTCATCCCCCCCAGACCCCTTTGTGTTCCAGTGCGCAGCTGGCTGTGACTTGTATCCCAATGGCTCCTATACCAAATTCTACCATCTTGCCTACAATGCCCACGACTTCCTCAGCTTTGACACAGACAACAGACAGTGGGAGAGGCAGCAGGAGAGTGAGCTGGCAGCACAAGTTCAGAAACAGTTCAACAGTTTCACAGGCTTCTCTGCAACCCTGCAGCACCTTCTCAATATCACCTGTGTTGACCACATGAAGAAACTTATCAAGTATGGGAGGGCAGATCTAGAGAGACAAGGTGAGACCACCCCAACCCTGAGACAGCCATCCCAAAGCCCCCCACACTGGGGCCAAGTGGTGCCCCACCAGAGATCCCACCATCCCCTTGCTTTCGCCTCCCAGAGCTGCCTGTGGCTACAGTCTTCGCCCGCACACCCAGCCCAGCCCAGCTTCTGCTGGTTTGCCACATCACCGGCTTCTACCCACGGCCCATCAGCGTGGCCTGGCTGCGGGATGGCCAGGAGGTGCCACCGGGCCCAGCGCTCAACACCAGTGCCATCCTGCCCAATGCCGACCTCACCTACCAGCTCCGCAGCGTCCTGTCTGTGGCCCCTGGTGATGGGCACAGCTACGCCTGCCGCGTGCGCCACCGCAGCCTGGGCACCCGCAGCCTCCTCATCCCATGGGGTAGGTCCCACCCACGGAGATGGGATGCAGGGTGGAGGCAGAGAACCCTGGCCCCATGCAGGTGCCTGAAGGATGGTGGATCAGGCTCTGACAGCATCTCTGGCCATGGCCTCCTGTGTGCTCGCAACCCCTCTCTCTCCTCTCTCCTCCAGGAAGCTCCAAGGTAGCTTCCAGCATTGGCATCACCATCGTGGTGCTGCTGACTGTGGCTGCAACCCTCGCTGGGGCTGTAAGGCTCTACAGGCGCAGGTGAGCTCTCCTCCTTGCCCAGCTGCACCAGCCCCATCAGCTCCAGGCCATGGCGGGTGGGAGCTGCTCAGTCAGGGCTGCCTGCCCTTGTCCAGCCTCACTCACCTTCTCCTCTCCTACAGGAGCTGAGAGCACGGGATACACCACACCAGCGATGCCTCAGGGCCACACTGTTCCCCCACATCTCCCTGGTAATAAACTGCTAATTAACACCCCTATGCATGTGGAAACTCCTGATGTGCTCTGCAAGTGACCATGAGCATATGGCATCACGTGGCTCCTGCCCACCCCAGGACAGATGGGAAGAGCCCAGATGCAGTGCAGGGGGCCTAGCCACACCCCTCATCCCAGGGCAAAACACCAGGACAGCCTCCCAACACCAACAGGGTGTCCCTGGCCCCAGACACTAGTCCTGACGGGCACCGGGTTCCCTACAAAACAGCAGGGCTCAGCCAGTGACAACACAGGCTGGGGCAGCAGTGCAGAAGGGCAAGGGAGAATCATCTTCCCCCCACTCACCCTGCTGGGGGCACATCAGCACCTCTGCACCAGATCCTGATCCCTGGGACCAAGGGATGGTGACAAGCAGGTGTGGGGCCAGCACAAAGCTTGAGGGCACAGGGAGCCCAGGCATAGAGCTGGCTGTGGGAACGGGGCTTGCCTCCCCTGTGGGAAATTCAGTCACATTGGGGCAAACCTGCCAGGTTCAGTGCTGAGGTCAGCAGCACAGAGGGGACAGAGATATCTGTGCCATGCAGGGCCAGGCACTCTGGGCATGAGTGGCAGAAAGGACATTCCTGTCACAGACAGTGGATGCAGCCCATGGCCAGGCAGCATACCCACTTGCACTGGGGGTAGAAAAGAGGGGTTGGGTCACCTGCACCACCCCAGGTGTCATGGCCATGGGAGACCACCACCTGCAGCCGGGGGAATGGCCTTGCTCCCACCAAAATTTCCCCAGCACTTGAGGCCATAGGCCAGGGTGCCCCAGCCTTCCCATCCTCCTGTATGATCCCATGAACAAGAGGCTCCCCCTTGCCTGCCCACCTCGCCTTCACCCCTCCTTGTCCTCCTTCCACTGACTCTACCCCAGCCCTGTCCCCTTCCACCAGCCCCAACGTCCCTCTCTCCCTACATATCCTCAGCCTCGTTGCTGGCCTCCTTCCTCAACCCAAACTGCTCGCTCCCTGGTTCACTTCCCCAGTCCCACCTGTCCCTCCTCTGTCCCCAGAGGTTCCTTCCTCCTCCCCACAGATCTCCGTGCCCCTAACCCGTGGTGCAAGGGCAAGGTGGGGTCCCAGGGACCCTGCACTCGTGGCTCAACACCCAGTCCAGGACCCCCAGGAGCAGCCCAAGGCCCAGCCCCAGCCTTACTGTGCCATAGTGCCCTGCCAATGGCAACCTGTACCGCACCTGATGCCACCAGGCACCAGGCAGATTCCTGGCCCTGGCCCTCCCCACCATCAGGAACAGCAGCCCAGCTGACCCACCTGGCCCAGACGCGCTCATTGTGCCCCTGTCCCTGTCCTCCCCACCCTGCCACTGTCCGTGCCACAGCCCATTCGCCAATGGTGATCCATGCTTCTCCTCGAGTCATCAGGTGCTGGGTAAATGTGGGGCAAGCTCACCGGCCTCTCACCAGCACCAGCCTATGGGGACCCCCAGTGGTCCTGTCCCAGACACCCTCCCCCAGATCCCTCCCAGCGGCCCCTGGCACCATCCAAACCCTGTCCCCCAGGGCTTCCCTCAGTCCCCCTGAACCCCAGCCACCCAGATCCAGCCCTCAGCCACCCTCACGCCCAGCACTCAGGGGCCATGGATGACCCAAGAGGGTTTCCCATCCCAGTCCTTGCCAGAACCATTCTCCCAGGCAGAGTCCGTCAGTTGCCAGCTCCAAAGGCCCCTTTCTGTCCCATCCCCTACCCTGCCGCATGTTATTCCGCTGCCATGGCATCACCCTGTGGTGCCCAGGGCTCAGGTGGTGGCCCTCTCAGCGCTGGGGGTCCTTTAGTTGGGGACTGTGAGGCTGCAACAACCTGTCCCCTTGCAGCGCCGCTCTCTGTGTGTTCTCTAAGTCCCATACCCCAGTATCCTCTGCCAGACAGAGGTGAAGGTAGCAGACAGGCGCTGCACTGCCTTTGGATCTGCAAGGAGGCAATCCCTTCCCAAGGAGTCCCGGCCTTTGCATGGGGACACTCTCCTTCCCTGAGCTGGATGAGGAGCTCAGCCCACCCTACCTGACCAAGGGGTTCTCCCACCATTGAGGACAAGCACCGTAGGCACTGTGTGGGAGATCCCAGGGGACATGGAGGAACCATGACAGCAGTCCCTTAAATACAGGAGCAGAGCGACAGCAAGGGAAAGTCCATGCAATTCTTCACCCTTGGTGGCAAGACCAGCAGCATCTGGTCCTAATGCTCACGCATGTGCTCAGCAAGCTTGACTGCATCATTGGCTTCTTCAGGCAAACCTTTGGACAGATTGTGTGTGCCTTCATAATTGGTATGTGGTAATTTAAACTTAAGCTTCTTGAACATGCCCAGCACAAGGTCCTCTGGTGCTTCTAAAAGGATATCTCAGGAATTCACCTCTCCTGCTGTCACACAATGAAACAAATACCCCAGAAAAAGGCAAGACTTTAAAAATATATTCTCTCCCAAGACCACAATGCCTTTTTTCTGCAGCCTCTGCCTTAGTCTAAAGGGCTGATGTATGGAGTCAGGTTGTGATGGAGCTGAAGCAGCACCCACACATGCCATGCATACAAACCAGAGAGAGGAGCCACAAGGCACCCAAGGAACCTCTGGGCCCTTCTGCAGGGACAGGCACTGTGGCAGGACGGGGGCTGTACCCTCCATGTTTCTGGAGGCCATGCTTAGCCCAGGAGTAGCAGTGAGTCTCTAGGACCCTTATATACAGCATCTTTCTCAGCCCAGGAGCAGTAGCAGTGCTTGGGAAGCCTTGTATGCAGCAGTGTGGCAATGAGCCAGGAGAGCAGTGGGAATCAGGGCCATGCACTCATAACACTGTGCTTAGCAGGGGTGCTCTAGTCAAGCAGCAGCATCCCCACTGACAGTATACTACTGTTAAAGAAGCACAGTTCAAACCCTAGGTTTCCAGAAGCAAATTCTCAGGCGTTGAATCTCGTAAAATAAATAACTTACTAAAATGATAAAGCAGCAGGATCAGGTCAAGCTGGGTACCTCCAGAGAGGAACACTGAAAAAATAAATCCCTGGGCATTTATACCCTTACAGTCTGTGCATCCACCCTTCACATGACCTTCACGTGCTGTTCATGCAGCCTTTGGCCCAATGGTGCTTCTGGCCTCAGATCCTCCAACACCTTCTGACTCCTTGTTCGATTCTTATTCCACTGTCTCCAGGCAGGCCATTATCTTGACTAGTTGGAGCTGCTGTTGATGTTTGTACCCTCCTTATCTTCAGGATTGTGCTGGCTCTGGAGGCTTTGACTTGCTTGAATAGATCCAAGTTCTGTACAAGTTCAGCAAATGTAGGTGAAAGTTTACAGCTTGTAGCCTAAGGCTTCAGCAACTCCAGCTACTCATGCTAAGTCAGTAAAGCTAAGCAAACAGCATACTAAACAACACAACGTTATAACTCTAAGTGATTTGTTAAAACTTACTTATTTAAGCTAAACAACTAATATCTCTTAACAACCAGCAAGGCCCTGGGATTCAGGTACACAGCTGTGTGCTCAACCAGTGCACTGGTGGAGCTCCATGGAGCAGTGGTTCCATCCCCAGGAGACTGAAACCCTCACACAAAGCAGCATTCCCATCTCTGGGGTAACGCTGGGGATGCTGGCTGACAGCAGTGTGCCCAGACGCAGTGCACCAGAGGGACTTGGGGATGCACACCTTCAGCAGTGTTTGTTTTCATCACAGGTGCACCAGTGGGTTTTGGAGCCCTTGTGCACAGAAGCTCTCACATCCCTGCCAGTCAAGATGGCTCGAGGATCTTGCATAGCATCTTTCTCAACACCACTGCAGTGGCGTGTTTCAGGAAGCCTCGTACATGGCAGTGATTCCATCAACATGAGACCGGTGATGATCAAGGACCTGGGGCCTGGCTTGTGCAGGTGACTGTGATGTCACTTGTGGCTGAGTAGCTCATAGGGCAGGAGCAGAACCCAGTTTGTGCCAGTGCTTATGATGTCACTGGTGGGTGAGTAGCTAACAAGGCAGGAGCAGTCCCCTGGCTTGTGTCATGGTTATGAGATCACTGATGACTGAGTAGCTGTTAGAGCAGGAACTGGCACCTGGCTTCTGCAGATGCTTGTGAGGTCACTTGTGGCTGAGTAGCTTCGCAGTCCTGGAGAATTGTTGCATATCTGGCTCCAGTCTGGCTGCTTCTGCAGGTGCAGCAATGGTGCAGAAATCACACCCTTTATACCAATGATTGGGGAAATTTTTATTGTACTTCTTGTGGTGAATTAAACACACATTTGTGCTTAAGTTTAGAAAGATTCAACAAACAATGCATTGGACAGCAGTGTTCTGCTAAGCTGTTCTACAAAGAACGATTCTGCCTCAAAGATACTTGTCTGCATGTCTCAGCACATGTGAGAGAAAGGCCTAACAAATGCAAAAACTACACTGCATTTTTTAAGCTAATTCAGTGCAAGGTTGTTTTGTGCAGTATGCCTATTGATCTCAGCTTGACACTTCAAACCCATCTTGGGTGAAAGCTTTTCCTACAAGTACACAGAATAATCAACCAAATTCTCTTTAACTGTCCAGTATCCTAAATACGTAATTTTGTATTAAAGCCATATTGCAAACTTGCCTAGCAGAATGTTCCTCACAAACCCAGAAAAATGCCTTTTACATCATAACTTATCACATTTTCAGGCTTGAATTAATGATTATCTTTCCTGAACTGGAAGCAATTTTGGGACTTGCCTGTGGTACTTAAGCACAACTTAAAAGAGATAATGCCAAGCATTAGGAGAGAAGCAAACACCGTGGATGAAAAACGG